TGTTTAAAGACTGTTGGTGTCGAGTTTTATGAGGTTTATTTCAGCGTTTAGGCAAGATGAAATCCTCACAGCCAGACATGGGAGATGACAGTATTTATTTCATGAATTTTACCCATTTCTGGAGAAAATATTGTACTTTTAGGTGTGCAGACTGCTGCTGACACTAACTCTGATGAAGAAGAAGCTTTTTAACTCTGCAGAACCCCAAAGTTTTTTTTAGTTTTTTCAATATAAAAATAAGAAAAAAGAAAAGAATTTGAATTGAGAACTTTTAAGTGCACTCAGATACTTTTGTATTGGGGTATTGCTGCTTTGTTTTTATAGCTTTGTACAACTTTATATAAAGATAAACATATCCCTGTCAGCATTCAGTGCATTTCAACATGTTAATCTTAGATGATTATTATTATTAAACTTATTATAATTATTATTTCTGATGCTCAGTGTAACAAACAAGATTAGATGTTTTTGCTTCTGAGGTCACAAAACTGCAGGTTTTCTACATGTAACAACAGATCACATGACTACGATCCGTTAACATTAATAACCGAGGTTGTTACCTGCAGAGCGATGGCGAGCCGAATGAGGTCGATGACCACTTCCTCGTTGGCCAGCTCGATGGTGAGAATGGCAAGGGTTGTGAAGAGCAGCTCAAAGTTTTTGTGGACGTTATCTTCCTCTTTAGAGCCCAGATAGATGTGACGGTAGACCTGCTGGCCGTGCTGGAGGTGAAAGAGGGAAGAAAATAAAAGTTTTTGTAAATACATTTAAATAAAAACAATCACTTCTCACACACAACTCGCATTAAATCACGCCCATAGCTGCCAGTAGTTCGTGTGGTTGGACACGAGCGCAATGTCCAGCTGCCTCGCAAGGTTAAAGCTAATGACCACTGGTGAGTGTTAGCACGCAGACTTTATTCACAGACTCCGTTCCTGGCGTGTCAGACTGTTCGCCGTGTCTTTGGTTAACTTCAGCCTCTTTTAAACCCCATTGTGTTTTTCTGCAACCAGCAATCCTTCTGGAAAAACCTGCCTTCTGATTTCTTTCCTTTATCTTTAGCTTGGTGGCCTAGCTTTAGTCCAGCGGGTTCTTTGATAATCCCAACGACAAGCAACTACGACCTTCTCACAGCAGCTGTGAAGAATCGAGGCTTTGAACATGACCCAGAAAGAAATCCTTCTAGGAGTGTGAGCTGAGACCTTGCTGACCAGGAGCCATACGCTCACCTTCACTGCTGTTCCTGTTGGGTCTCTCAGCAGCTTTCTTCGACACCTGTTCCAACTCATCACCTCCTCACCTTAATGTCTGAGACATGAGGCCATGTGGGATACGAGTCTGACAAATATCTGTTATACTGTTTCCTATCCTCAACAAATCTCATGTAAAGATCAAAACATCAACGAGCTGTTATAGTTCTGGTTCTGAATCCTGCTTTTCTTTTTTTTTTTTCTGCGATAATACACTGAATTTATTTCTTCAACTCAACTTCTTAACCTATTTTACTATCAGGTGTGTAAAAACTACAGGTTATCAACTTCTTTTTAAAATGCTAAAATGTGAAAATATTGGTATCATATCGATATCAACCACGAGAAGCAGTTAAGCTGGAAAGAAATCCATATCGTGCATCCTTATATTTAGTTGCACAAAATAAGACATGTGGCACATTTACGAAAAGATGACAAATATCAGTGGATTAATGGAGAAACATTAGCAGATTAATCAATAATAAAAGCAATCATTAGTTAGAACCCTGTACCGAATATATCGTACTTACCACAGCTCTCTATGATATAAATGATGTTATTGTGCTAGAAAATGAAAATGAAAATGCCACAGCGCTGTCCATCGAGAAGATTAATCCCATTAACTCCGAGTCAGCCTAAAAATAACCCAGAGGCCTCTTCTTGCAGAGACTGTCTTTATAAAAGAAATAAAAATGCACGCTGTCAGAGCCGTGCTGCTGCATTTACATTCCTGAAACGAAGCCTAATGAAAAGCGAAGGCCAACGACTTCAATTCACCACTAATGAATACAATTAGATCCCCTTAATGACCTCTGACGGTGATGATGTTGGTAAAGTGAGTGGTGGTAACATCCAGAGACAGCTCCAGCCCTGTGGTTGTTCTTCCAGGTGTTTGACGTGTGGGTAAAGGTTACCTCTCAAGTGTGATTCACAGGTGAACGACTTAAACTGCGCTCACCTTTTTGGAAATGTCATGTGCTGATGGGGGCCGGGCTTCTCCCGTCAGGGTCAATAAGCTCCACGACCTACTTGGATGAGAAATCTGAAGCGTGAAGATGCAACCACATCTCACTAATGCAATCACTTCTGCAGAGGTTCTTCTCCTCTTTCTAGTGTCTTTAACTTTGTGTTACTAAATTTAGGTAGCAGATTAGTAACTTAAATATCCACGGATGGGCATGTAGATTTTTGTTTTAATCTGTTTTATTAAGTTTTATTGTTAAAAATATCTTTGAATGATGTCTAAATTGTTCAAATCGACTGGACCAGGAGATTTTTTACTATGGCAACAGCTGCACATTCAGACTTTGAGATGATCCAGATCAGCAGGACCAGCTCCACCACAGCAGGTGCTTTTGCCCCAAGAGGAGAGGTAGAGAGCCGGGTTAGGAGCCATAATTGCCCAGGTTGGACTTAAGGCTGCTCCTGGTTAATGTCTGGACAAACAACGGGAAATCAGACACTGTTGTCCCCAGAGACCTGATCCATCAACATACCGAACCCTCGACGGTTAGACCGTGTTGTGAACAGAGTGCAGGACAGATACCTCAGAGGCTAATATACAACTTCCCACGTAAGTAACAGCAGAGAGACAATATTTAAACATTTAGAAACAAAAATGTGAATCAGTTTATTTTCACTGTGAAGTAGAAAAGGGCCGGATGGCCACCCAGCACCCTCGAGATGAGTATCACTGCAACAGACCTTTGTCAACACTGGAATCCATTATAATATAACAAGAACGTCTACTGTGTGTAAGAATGATGGGAATAACTCAAAAGATATATCCTGAATGGACAACTGGAGTTCTTGGTTAGCTACTCAGGTTGTAAATGACAATTACAAACAAGCACACTTTTCTGAGAAGTTTCTGAAGATGTCAACCTGGATTGCACTATAGAAACCGAATACAGGTGTTTGACACTCAACGGCCTGCTCCTTAAAGACCTCAGCTGACAATATAAGAGCAGTGATGTCTGCAAAAAGAGCACAGCAGTACAATACAGTAACTTAGAATTTCTACCTTCTTCATAAAAGCGACGTCTTGCTTGGAAATCTTCTCTCTTTTAATCTTCAATGCTGCAACATTAGGAATGATTCTGCAACAGAAACAGACACCAGCTATCAATGGGAAACAGTTTTTAATCCCAAAACACTTAAAGATTAAAACTTAGAACAACATGAGCATCGAACAGCGACACAGTTCACTGTACGCAGTCCTTTTATGTCTGACACATGCACTTTGTACCTGATGCCACGTAGCTTGGCACGGTTGTCATGGCGGTCAATGATGTTGTGCAGGATTTCCAGCACCAGCTGCCTCAGCTCGCTGTCCTCCATCAGGGAGATGGAGAAGAGCGGCTCGAGGAAGGGAGGAGGCAACGCCGCTGCCATGGACTTGGACTTAAAGCCTGAGGTTACCTGAGGTAGAGAGAGGAAGGTGTGAGCAGAATTATCACAGCGGGCTGTGATTAATCCACAGGGAGACTTGTTGAGGAACACCGTTCAACAAAGCTTAAAGGTTACATTCACAAGGAGCTCAAACTGTCCAAATGTTGACCTTTTGTCTTGTACACGACTGATCTGATGATTTATGATCCGTGTGAACAACAAATTCTCATCTGGAACAAATGTGGTTGCTATAAAAATGGTTCCCGGGGCCCGTGATCGACATGATTTGTTATATCTGAACACACATTTGAGCTTTTATATAAAACTTTTTTGTCAGCATAAGCTCTGTAAAAGAAAGATGGATTTTATTCAAGACTTTAAGACCTTCACAGTACCTCATAAAGAAAAATAGATAACAGTAAGGCCTTCCTGTCTTTGCTTCAGCGCTGACAAACACTGTTCTGTGCTCCTGGTTTGAGATGTTGATTATATAACTATACAGTGTGAATACTGGAACCAGAGCTTCCATTATGTTTTTCTCTTCTGTATTCTAACTCATTTTTTCAGAATTCACACTTTTTAAGAAAAAGTTTATCTTGACAATTCAGGACGCCACTCTTCTTATTTTAATTAACATAAAAGATTTGTTTCAGTTATATAAATTACAAAACTTTTCAGATCTGTCAGCGTTTCCTTCAGGTCCACTGTGTAGGATTTAGTGGCATCTAGTGTTGTAGTTGCAGATTACAACTTCCTCATTTCACCCTCCTGTGAGTGTAGAGGAGTAACTATAGTGGCCGCAAAATGCATGAAAAAGTAAAAGGTCTAAACTGTTTGGTTCTGGGCTTCTGTAGAAACTTGATAGCGGTTCAACATGGCTGCCATCACACTTAAAAAATTAATCCATCGTATCGATCTGTCCGCCAGGATTATTTTCAGTGAAGTTAGAAGTTATTTATTCCGTGTGTTGAACAACCAGACTGTGTGATGTTACACTGTGTTGGGAATAAATTAACTAAATGTTCAGTCTCCTTGCTGCTTGTTTCGACTACTAGTTGACGAGGAAGATCTTTAGTTAGGGAGCCATAGAGACTATACAGTTAATAAGGACACCAAGGCCGACACTGCTACATTTCTGGTTCCCACAGCGTCTGTGTCTGTACTCACATTCACACCTCACAGACCACAAGAACCAGGGACTGATTCGGTTCCTACCTTCGCCCCCGACCAGCAGCCCCCAAACATCTGGGTCTTACCCTGACGGTCTGTAGTGTCGCACACATACCGCCCCTCCTGCTTGGCCACAGCTGCACAGCGTTATAAATATTTTGACCTTTCACCCCTCCTCCAGCTGCACAGAGACGCCAGGTGGTGGCGAGGACGACGTATTAAATCATAGTGTGGGTGTGTGTGTTGGGGCCACCTGTGCCTCCTCGGCTCGGTGAGATGAGGTTCTCTCACAGAAGACGATAATGAAGGAGAAGAAAGCGTCCATATGAAGGATTCAAGTGTTTTAACCCTGAAGAGCCATGCGATAAAAACGGCCAATATCTGATGAATAATTTAATTAACTTTATAAAAAATGTACTTTACGTTTTATAATCACAATTTATTGGATGACTTTATATTTTTTCTATATCTTTATTATTCATCAATCAAAAAGAGTCTTCTGAGGACTGATGTGTCTTTTGTATTTCTGTTAATAAAGTTTTAGTACGTTCATCTTTTCTTCTGTCCATAAAACCACAGTGGACTTCTTCTAATGTTTATTGAAAATGTTCAAAGCATCACTTCCTGTGAACCAGAGGATTAATCTGGATAATGATGAACTGTATTTAGATTTAATCAGTTTATAGATACTAGCCAACTTTTATTTATTTGAGATATTGTTTAATATTTAATTATTATTTGGTATATATTTAAATATTCATTCCATTATCTGCTGCAATTCAACCAATTACAACCAGAAATAAACTAATTTAATTAGCAAAATCGTTGAGATCTGATCTGGACATCCCTAATGAAGATAAAAACACTATAACAGCAGCTGCTTTTGAGTTTATACAGTTCATATAGATTATTGACCCTTTATTTAAACCAATCAGAGTCACGACGGGTTGTTGTTAAATGTGTCGTTAGACCTCAAACTGTCATATCTGGTCATGAAAACAAAGACCGACCAGAATGAAAACCAGACCGAGATGAACCACGAGACACAAACGTGTTGCTCCTCAAACAGAGATTCTACGGTAATGAAAACATCAGCTTCAGACTGATCCCACCTGATCAATAAAACAATCTGTTGATCTGATCAGACGGGTTAAAGAGAGACGGACTCACCATGATGAGAGAGCTGAGCAGCATGGTCTGGATCCGCTTGGTACCCTGATGCCTGAGTGATAAAAGAGAACATCAAATATTCTGTCAGAACCACAATATGTCTCTTTCTATGGTTTCAAAATGGAAAATACTTGTCAGGTATCTGCCAGGATGAGTAGTATTTCATTTATGAAGAGTTTTTTAATTATGGCCAAAAAAGCAATTTGAAGATGTCACTTTGGGCTCTGGGAAATTGTATAGCATTTTTCACATTTTTTTGGGACTAATTGATTAATTGTGAAAATAATCAGCAATGAAAATAACTGATTCCCAGTTATGGATGTAATTCTCTAAGTGGTTCTCCTGTCAGTTGGTGTCTTGGCCTTGAGGGGGCACTAACACAGCTTTTAAACTCTTATTTATTATTTATTGTAAGCTAAATTATTACAAACATACATTAGATAAAGGAACTCTAGTACTGTTGTTGACTTTTTCCAGATACAGACATGTGATGAATACATTTGGGTACCAAAACCCAGTCCGAATATGCAAACCTACCTTAGTCAGGTTAAACTCCTGAACGGCCTAAAATTTGGCTGTATTTCAACACTATAATTGGCCGTTTGGAGACCACTGATGATTTCCTCAGGTTAGAAAATATGATAATATTTCTATAGATTTGAGTTACGTGTATTAATTGGTATTAATATATTTAAGTACACATTAAACTGTTAAAAACTCCCATCAGGAGAGAAATGTTGCCTCAGAGCCACCAGATCTGCTGTAGGAGGTCCAGCATTCAGGCCTGTCATGTTCTCCTGGTAGACTCGCCAACTTATTGAGAACAGGGGTGCTCTGATACCAGTGTTCATCTGATATTCGGGTCGGTTTGGGTCCGATATTGTTCTGATAAACTAATTATAATCTTAGAACTACTCCGATATCGCACCTGATACACTTTACAGCAGCCTGACGTTACGTAACCTCTTGTTAGTTTTGTTGAGGAGAAGCAATTACAGAGACAATAGTTCTCAAAGTACTGAAATTTAAGTACTTGTACTTGTATTTTGATCTGTAAAAAAGTCGTATTGGTACATCCCCAGTTGATAATATGGTGAAAAAGGACTTCATGTCTCCGTACACCAGTACTTATGGTTTTTGCGCCACTGAACTCTAAAATGTGCATTTATCTTTGTAATGAGGGGTTTATGTACTGCAACCCGACTATAAAATCCCTCTGACTGACAAAATCAGACTCATTTTATACATACCACGGAGCGTGATTGGATGTTAATGTCTTAATTATAGCATGGCAGTGTGTCTGTGTGGAAGCATCTGCAGTCAATTCTCCACTCATTTATTGAGGTTTTTCCTTCATGTTTGCTTAATGAGAGGGAGGTCTGCTTATTGTGAGTACAGAGGAAGCTTTTAAATGATCCTTTAAACCTTTAAACTTCAAAGAATGCAGACTTTCTCCTCGTTTCTTTAATCTTGACTAAATAAAGAATCAAATTAAAAGGGAAACATGATGAAGTAAGTTAAGTCGACGCCTCTTTAATATCCAACACCTGGCAGGCAAACATTTAACATTAAACAAAACTCTGGTATCAGATCTGTGACCTCGGTCAGATTCTGTGAGGAGGAAGAGCGAAGGACCTGTGAGCAGCAGCAGCTCTACAATGTTGACCGTTTAAAATGAGAGTGCAGCGCTATCAGACATCCAACGGTTAGCTGCAGAATCAGATCTCTCTCCTCCGGCAATTACCCGAAAAGGAGAAGAGAGAGAGAGCTAGAGGCTGTTGGAGGAGGAGGAGGAGGAGGAGGAGGAGAAGGAGGACTGCTCGTTTGATTTGGGATTATCTGTTCTTGCACTCCTGGGGCCGGAGGGATTAGCTTGTTTTTCTTTCTTTTTCTGGGGAGGAGACGGCCAGCCGTCGTTTCAGTGACCTGGGAGCTGAATGCACTGCAGGGCGTCCAGGAGGTGAAGTGAGGACAGATTAAGGACAGACACAATTCACTTTGGATGAGACAGAGAGAGTATGTGTGTTTGTGTGTGTGTGTGTGTCTAATGTTATATGTTTCCTGCAATTAACTAAAAAGATGCATGTGATGTGAGTAAAACCAGGTTTCTATCGCAAACAGTCCAGGATCATCTGTGCTCCTCGAGTTAACTGGGAAAGAAAAGACGGAACCAACATGTTTAGAGCCAAACCGTCTCTACAGTCAGGTGACAGGCTTTTGGGAGCTGCGAGGTGATTGGCTGCAGCAGCAGTGTGCGGGAACCCCGGGGCCCTTGGATAATAAAAGTGTGACTCACCCAATCTTGACGGTGTCCAAGGTGTGGCAGGGGGTCCCGTACACTGGCACTTTGCCCATGATGAACATCATTACTTCAGCTCGCTGATAGTCTGGCAGGTTTCCACCGAAAAAGCCTGGCAGGAGGACATGAGAGACGGTGAGTCAGCACTTGAACACGAGTAAAAACACATCCTGTCTTCTGTTTATTTTATTTCTACTAGAACACAAACAAGGCAGGAAGTAAAAAGGCCTGTTGTACCGATTGTCTGGATGATGGCGTTCTGGACGATTCTCTCCTCACTCTCTTTGCCGCGGCCGGACGAAACGCTGATGTTGGAGTTTCTCCTCGAGCTCTCACCCAGCTCGAAGTCCACGCTCATCCTCAGGTGTTTGAGCAGAGTGTTAAACACCTCCAGCACTGTGGGACCTGCAAACACACAGTCAGTGCAGAAGAGATGTATTAATGTAAAGTTAAAGAATAAAAGACTTGTGGCCGAAACTGAGGAACATTATCTTGTTGTTTTGTTTGTTTTTTAATTGTTTTTGTCTAATTTAAGCTCCTAACATCTGTCTTTCCTCTTTTATCTGGGGTCCAAGCCTGAAGGAGCTGGGGGTCGACTTGCCTCAGTGTGCCGGGTGCAGCTTTCGCCGGTTGGCTTGGACCCTGTTAATACCTGCTTGCAGCTCTAGTTTCCAGTTGAAGTCAAGCTGTGCCGGCTTCCTCCAGTTCCGCATTGAAGCTTTTTAATGTTTACATTAAAGGACCAAAGACCTTGTATCTTTTAAGGTTGCACATTTTCCCAAAATCCAACCTGACATATTTTGAAACTCTGATGAGTGTTTGGCAGTCTCGTGAAAAGTTTCATCTGAAATAATAAACCACATTTCCTTTGTGAAAAACTAGTACGCAGTGGTTCTTGTTATGGGTTTATAACCACAAACAAACTGTTTGATGAGAACTGCTCTGTATAGATTCTCACCGCCAACATCACACAGATTTTCTTTCAAAAAGTAATTTAACAAAAAGCTGATTAATCCTACAGAGATGTTATTTTGCTGTCACTGTTTTGGAACCTTTTTGGTTGTTTTATTTTATATTTTTAGTGTTTTGTTCTCGTTTTCCACTGGAGGCTACAATTGTTCATTGTTTCATATGTTGAATCCTTTCACTTTTTAAGTTTAGAATGACAAATAAAGCTTAATTAAATAAATAAGGATTAATTAGGGTTTCCCATAGTATTATGTATAGGGACATAAACTGCAGTAAAATGTAGGCCCCAGTAACAGATTTGTATCTGTGCTCTTGGTCACGTTCACGTCTTTCTCTGATTCAGTTGTCTTAATTCACTCTGTCACTAAAAGCAACACCTCAGATTATGACAAAGTCAGTGCTCACTGGCACATACAAAACTACAAAAATAAAAGGTAATAACACAAAGAAAACATTTCCAAAAAGACTCTGAATCCATTTTCACAATTTAAAACAGTATGATCTAGATGCCTAAAATCCATTTAAAAATGAACAAAGACAATCCTGAGGAACTATAACAAAACAAGTAGAAGACAAATTACAATGCAACGCTAGTACTGCAAATACAAAATACATATCAAAAACTTTAATATATTAGCTAATTAAGCCAACAACCATCTGAAGGTTTTCTTCAAATATTTTGTGTTTCTGTATCTGTTTAGTAAACTACACACATTAATCATCACACTCTGAGCTGTTAAAATGTGTATTTTTTAAATATTTAAGGTTTCCCTCCACTTCCAGCCTTTGTGCTAAGCTACGCTAAACACACCAGGATACATCTCTACTGGACACATACATGAAACTGATCATGTATAACATGAACACATTTAACATCCAGTCTACTTTAATCTACTGAGGTCTGGATACAGCATCACTTCACTGAGCTATTCTACTTACACAAAACCACAGCTTGATCCGGATCAGAAACATTTTTAAACTCACAACTGAAGACACCGTGAAAAACAGAAACACTCGTACATTGTAATGAATCCCAGCATTGTATTTGAATGGGTTATATTATCAGGTGTTGTTATCGATCGGTTTCGGCCGATTCGCCCAATTGCTGGGTTGCTGTATTGTTAAACGTTCTTCATTGTGTGAGCACTACAAACTCAATTCTATTTAATTAAGAAGCACAAATCTCAAAACCAAGTAAACCAGATTAAAGGGCTAATTTTCACCTAATTTTACTAAGGTAATTTGCGTTTGTTGGCAACACACCATAAGTTGCTGGGCTGTTGGATTGCGTCATACACGTATTTCTGATTTTCTGGTCAGTCAGTGTATGTTCAGATATAAATATATCTGTTTATACAATAACAGACTTTTTGTTTTCCTGGCATTAACATGCATCTCATAACCACACTGTGACACGATCTGATGGAGCTGGAATACAAATTAAACTTCAGGCTGCCTGAACATCAACTTCATTAAGTTCCACAACTGAAAATATATTTCAGTCTAAGGACTGACTCAACACTTCCATTTGATGTTTTTCTTACTTTACACTTTAATCTTTGTCCTGCAAGAGAACTCTCTTGGTTAAAATAAAGCTCAGATAAAACAACAAATCAAAATTATTTCAAAATTAGTTTATTTAAATATACATGTTATTTGGATTGTATTTACATTTTCTTGCAAATCAAGTGTATCTGAGCATATCTATTATCAGTTTATTGTATTGTTACACTGTGACTACCCAGGATGCTTGTTAATGCCAGCTGTGTGGGGGTAAGTCTGCAGAAACTGCTCTATAGATACATATTCACTTTAAATCTGACCACACTGTCATACTGTACCGAGCCACAGATTGGGAGGAGTCGTGATTTCACTTTCAAAGTACACATCACTTCTTTTGGTCTCTTGAATCATTCCTATCCAGAAGGAAGGTTGTTGTTTTCCAGGCAAAGGCAATAAAACACAGGTTGGAGGAATTAAATACAAACTGATTTAAATAAACAAAAAATTGTGGTTAATTTATTTTCTACTCTCTCCTCCAAGAAGCCACCTTATCGTGACGAAGGGTTTGTGCATCCCTGTGACTCTAGGAGCTTTGTTTTTGGGGCAATAGCTCCTGGTTGGGTCCCGAGGAAAACTGGTCCCAAGTGGGCCAAGGGCCAGACTGATAGGCCTAAGAGTGATTCACAGATATTACAGGGAGGAGGTCCCCTTCCTGAAGCCAGACCTGAGAGGGGAGCTTTCCAGTAAGTGTCTGGTGGCCAGGTTTTAATCCACGGGATCTGGTCGGGCACAACCAGAGACAACTGCTGTGCATGGGGCCGCCACCCAGTGGGCCCACTACCCGCTGGCATAGGTACTGGGGTCAGAGGCATTGTCACCTGGATGGCAGGCAAAGGGACGACCCTCTCGTTCTTTCAAGAGGACGTTCTGACTGTTGTTTGTACCTGCAGGTTGGAGTATCTGGCCCTCTTAGAGTGGGGAGTGGATATTCTCTAGGGGACTTTATGGTTCTGCTGGCGAAATTCAACACTTACATGGTCAACAATGGAGAAACCTGGTGAGGTGTGACTGGGAGGAACAGCCTGTCCAATCTAATCCTGAGTGGTGCTTTGTTATTAGACCTCTGCACTGGTCATATTGCCCAAACAAACAGCATGTTTGAGCAAAGAGTGATTCAGGAGTGCACTTGGTACCAGAGATGTTTAGGCCAAAGATCAATGATCAGCTGTGCAGTCATTATCATCAGATTGGGGGCAGTGGTGGCCTAAAGGTTACAGAAGCGAGCTTGTGACCGGAAGGTTCGATCTCAAGACCGGCAGGATTAATCTGGGTGCTCCTCCCTCATTACCACCACTGAGCTGCCTTGAGCAAGTTTAACCCCAACCGCTCCAGCTGCTCAGTGCCCAGCAGATTAGACTGTGGTTGTACTGAATGTGTGATCATGGTGTTCCTGCAAGAGGGAGGCTTCTCTGAATAAATAAAGCTTAAAAATATCTGAGGCTGTGTATCGTGGATGAGGGGAAGAACTGATCACCACCTGGTAGATTAGTTGGAGGCTGTCGGACAGACCTGATCAATCCAAACATGTAGTGAGGATAAAATGGGAACAGTTCTGAGTGGGCCATGTTCAAAGCCTCCATTGTGAAGGCGGCTGCTTGGAGTTGTGGTCTATCAGACTCTGTTGGCCCAGAGGTCTCCTGAAGCAGCAGACAGGTACTGAGAGAACAGAAGGGCAGCAGCCTTAGAGAGCTTGGAGTAGAGCAGCTGCTAGTTCGCATTAAAAGGAGCCAGCTGAGGTGGTTCAAGCATCTTATCAGGAGCCTCCTGGGTGCCTTCCTTTGGCAGTTTTCCAGGCCTACTCTGGGACCCCCGGGGTGGATCCAGAACACACTGGAGAGATTATATCATCTGCCTTGGCAATGCCTTCTTTCCAAAAGGAGCCAGGTAACATTGCTGTGCAGAGGGATTGGAGGACTACCTTGCTTGCCCTGCTGAACCACCCTCGAAAAAGCAGGTTTGTCTCCAAAGTTTCAAACTTCATGCCTATTTAATTATCAGGCAATTAACACATACAAACACTTCAATGAAACCACAGAACAGCAGATTGAGAATGATGAGATCAAAACACATCAGCACCTTTTTATAACACCTAGATTCTCTGTTGTTACCTTCTGTTCATGTTCTTTGTCTTCCTGTCAGAAATGAAACTTTGTGATGACTGTAGATTGCTATTTGGGACCAAAGTCAACAAGTCGCCCTCAGAGATTTTTTGATATCTTAATATTTTAAGAATGCAAGTATAAGTTGATTAATTGATTAGTCGGTCGACAGGATTAATTCACCAACCATGTCAGTAATTGATAAGAGCCTAAGTTCATGTCTTCAAACTACTTGTTTTATCTGTCCAACAGAAAAAAGTGATCTAAACCTTCGAGGGACCAGAAGAAGGTTTGACATTTTTGCTTGATAACTGACCAATTAATGATCAGAATTCATCAGTTCATTTTATGACCTCCTGAGTAACCAGTCCAGCAGTGGGAACCAGTATGGTCCTTTAACTCACCCACTGAGCCTTTGGCAGCAATGGCCACTGTCTCCAGGAGGACCTGGACGATGCCAGCTCTGACCCGCGGTGTGTTCTTGTTGTGAGTGTCCAGGTGGTTCAGAACCTGCTGGATGACGTGGTGGGAGTGCTGAGCCTGGACGATGAAACACAGAGAGATGAAGAGGATTTAAGACAATAGAGCTGAAATGTGATGTCCTGCTTTTTTCAGCCCAGATCAGAAAGTAAATGATCTCTAAACCAAGAAGGAACCCGAACTTCTGCTATAAGAGCAACTCTACTCATTTTATATGAACAGATTGGTCAGTGAACAGTGAATCTAAAATCTAATAGCGATTATTTTCTGGTCCTAAATGAATAGTTTGACATTTTGGGAAATACATACATTCGCTTTATTGCAGAATTTATTTCGTATGAATTTAACAAATATAACTTCTCTCCTGTTTCCAGTCTTCATGCTAAGCTAACTACAAAACGCTTGTTGTCCATACTAACAAAAGTTTAAACATTTATATTTGGGTAGGCGACCTAAGCTGCTTAGAACTCGCTCAAGCGGCCAACCTGGTGGGTTTTAAGAGGTTTTATACATCCAAAGAACTCCTAGAAAAATCCATATTCTTTTTAGTTTGTCAAAACATGTAGCCACACCAGGCTAGTAAAGGAGACCTCTGTGTATTTGGAACCCTGCTTTTTTCTTTAACTGTGCAAGAATCTTCAAGTATTTTACAAAATCTTTATATAGGAAGAGTTTTTCACTTTGAACTTGGTCTACCAGTAACAGTTTACATGGTCCGCAATTTTGACAGACTAATAAAAAAGTCAGGTCACTTTGTCAGCACAGATGACGTAAACCAGTGACGTCTAATTGGTGTCAGGATTGTTGTACAGAACTTGGGTTCTAAAATTGGACTTACTGGGAGCTGCCTTTGCAGTGCATCCTGGTCTATTTCCTGCTCCTGTGAGTGTATAAATCTCTTTTTGTGTTTCCTGTTCTTTGATGGATTTTCCCCTTTGCAACTGTTTGCAAAATGCCAACTTTAGAAACCATTTTCTTGGAGCTGCTGGAGCTCAGCTAGACCTCAAAATTAAAGCTCACCATCAGCAGCGGATTTGGGATGAATTTGTTTTTTAAAAATTGTCCAAAACTCTGTTGTTTTCTCCTGACAGCAGAATCTTCAAACGTGTCTCTGCAGGACTAACTCTGGGTGCGTTTGTTTTTCGTCTCTAAGATCAAACAGACGACGACCGTCGCCATCTCTAGACAAACTAACACCCACCACCCAGACAGATCAGAGAGACAAAACTCTGCCAACTCCTGCCACACACTCACACAGTGCAAACACGTACGCATAAAAAAACAAACCCACAAGACAGGTGCACACAGTGGCATCAACACACAGGATTCCCAACACCACTGATTGATTTATCTGTGGCAGCACCTCAGAGTCACATGGGAACTCCTGGACAAGAAACCAATTAAACAAACACACAATGAGGAGAGAGAGAGAGAGAGACAGCGGGGTGAAGGTCTGGGTTATTTGTGTGAGAGAGAGTGTTGATGGATGTTGGAAAATGTGATTGACAGCAGTAATAAGTGTACCAGCAGTCTGAAGGTAAACATGCAGTTCTGTCTGTGCGGCTCAGAGTCAGCAGCACAATGTGTGAAATGTATTCTGATGGAGACAAGAAGATTATTAATTATCTGGTAAAGAATTGAGATTTTTTGTATTATGTGAGCTTTAATCAAACAGGAATGTTTAAACCTAGAAGTATTTCTTAATGAAATGAAATATTCATGACAGCATTCTAATATAAGTTGGAAAAACATTAATTATGGTTTATGTAGAGAGGGTGTAGGGGTGCTGTAATAAGATAGTGAGGTTTTTCTTTCAATTCTTTCTTCATTTCATCTTATTTTATCGTCTCTGATTTAAACAGCACCCACTAGCCCTTTTCCTCTGTCGTTCTTGCCTCACCTTTTTTTGTTAAAAGATATCTGATCTTATAATAAATAACTCAGATTTAATCACTAAACATCTGGTTTTATGTTGCTTCCCTATTGCCTTTTACAAGCTGGGTCGGAAGATAAATGGAGGCTCTTCCGGGTTCTGACCCTGGACCTCTAACATCTGTTCTGATCTGATCTTAATCAAAATTTGGGAGTAAAGTTTGTAAAATTGACTTTTCAGTGATATTTACAACATTTAACATTGGATGCATAAAACATTTCCTGTGAGAGTACTTGAAATGAGTAAGGGTTGTGTTTGGGGTTAAAATTACCCACTCCTTAGACTGATACCAGACGAGAACGTAGCAACAATGAAGTCAAGGAGGAAAAATAAAACAAGAGTGAATCTGAGAAACTGAGTGATCAGCTGTGTTCTCCATCTGCCTGTGGAGGCTTTAATGACAGCTCGTCAAGATGATTGACAGGTACAGGGGCAAGATCCAAAAGGAAGAGGAGGGCAGGGCTAACAGTAGAGCGATGTGATGTACAAAAAGTTACCTTTAAAGTCATTCTGATGTACTTTTAAAATTTAAAATAGAGTAGAAACTGAAAAAAGTGCACATATTTTCTGATCCGCTGTTGGTGTTCTGTACCTGGATGGAGTACATGATGATTCTGAAGCAGGAAACTGCAAACTCATTGGGGTCCCACAGGTTGTGATTGTCCAGGTGACTGAAGACAGAAGAGAAATAAAGATTGTTAATATTCTCACCTAATCAACGGCAGCATTAAGATTCTTCTATGTTCTTCGTCTGTCCGACCAAAGTGTTTTCACTCTCTCTTTGCGGTCGTTTTGAGTCTCTTTCTTTGGCGCTAAGCCATGGACGCTCCATTTAGCCGTTTGTTGCACATTTAGCCATTTAGTCACAAATAGCATAACTTTTAATCGTGATGGTCTTTGGATTGCACTGACCCAATTTGAAGTAGATACATTCAATTCCCTAGGAGAATTTTGTTAAAATACAACGCTCCAAATCACCAAAAATGACCACCATGTAATCTGTAACTTTTCACCATCACTGAGTTTTGTGCCACGTTTCATGAGTTTTTTAGCACATTGCAGTAGCCAAAAATACGATTCTTTTTGCAGAAAAATAATAATTCCTTGCATTTAAACAGTGCTTTGCAGTGGTCGCTGCTCTGGCCTCTAAATAATCATGAGTCCCAAATGTTTAACTGAATAAAGAGCTGCCTGCAGACTCCGGGATAAAGATAGACAGATACAATTAGATAATGCAGAGGAGGATCAGATGTACAAAAAGCAGAAAAACGCAGGAGAACCTGAGACATCCCACCACTGATCCCTGTGCATCTAAACCTGAACTCTGAGCTGAACAGAGGTGAGATATACACGAGGTCAAAGGTTTTATAAAACATCATGTGGGTGTCGAAGAAGACGCGCAGATGAGAGCAAGCGGCAGATGGAGGACGACAGATTTACTCATCTCTGTGGGAGCCGACCTGCAGCCTCAAGGTAAACTCATCTATTACATACATCTGCTATTTATGACTCAACACACACAGAGAGGCAGGAGGTTGACTTATTCACCCACCTGCTTACAGCAAACATCAACAACATCACTGACTTCAAAGTCTAAACAACATATAGAGAACATCAAGTTTTATCCCCAAACAGCCAGTGAAGCTCATATCTCACATTTAGAGCCGCTATTAACATAAATATATTAAATCATCAAAAACATCTAATAAAGCAAACAAAAAGCCTACAGCCATGCTAGTGGTTCTGGGAAGCTGCTGACATATTGAATGTCTTTATCATAGTTTAAGATGTTAGCAAGGTAACATTTGCATATTATAACTAAACACAAAGTACAGCTGAGGGTGAAAATCATTAGTTTTGGGGATATTTGACAAGCAACACGTCGGGTTCAGTATTTGTTTTTTAAGACGGGAAAGTGTCCCAGAGCGGCGAGGCTGAAGAGACTCAACACAGCAGATATTTATGATCCTGATTTATAACAAAAGCATCAGTAGGGATTCAATACTTAAATTATTTTATTGTACTTATATCTACCAGTCGTTTTGAGTCTCTTAGTGGTCGTTTGTGTATATTTGTGGTAGTTTTGAGCCTCTTTGCAGTCAATTTGAGTCAATCTCAAATCCTGTTTAATGTAGTCTTGTACTTGTACTCTTATAAAGCTGCTTGTGTTTAAACATTTAACATTTGAGAAACATTTAGTTAAATATAACCAATTGTTCATAAAGGT